AATATTTTCATTTCTTGAATATTAGTCTCTTTCCAATTTCAAATTTGTGCTTAAGGTAAATTTATTTTTTCAGCCTTTTGGAAAGCGTATTTGTTAGTTTCTCATACCATCAGATTAAGATATTCATCCACAAATAATAATAACAACAATAAAAAATCAGTAGGTTGTTTATCCTACATATCTTGAATATTGTTATTTATTTTCAAATTTTGCACAAAAGCAGTAAAATTTTCCAGATGGTCTCACTTGTTACCTTATACCACTGCAAATCTGTGCAAATCTTTTCTAAGTATTTCATCAGATGAGAAATCACTATCCCAGTGAAAGTTCCTGATAACATTTTCAATCATTTCTTCAATGTTGGTAGAAGAACTACTACCAGAACCAATCTGATCGTCTGCTGCCTTACTAATTTAAATAATATTTCTGGTAGGTGTTTGAAATGATCTTCTGGGTTCAACAAGACCAGCAGTTGATTTGCATACTCCTTTTTTCTTTTTTGCATAAGACAGCCAGAAGAATCAGAATAACCATTACTTGCTTTAACTTTCAGACAAACTTTCAAAAGGTTCTTGATCTGACAAAATATCATTCAGCAATGCTTCCAAACAAGTTTGTTCTTTTTCACAATTATGCATTTTTCACTTGCTTTAAGACACTTGTAGTTACTGATACAAATGAAAAACATGAACTGAACAAATATGTAGTGTACAATGAAAGCTTCTTCCTAGAATATTCAGGTTCAGATGTGCATAACTGCGAGGACGTGTGCACCTACATGGCACCAACATGAAAATTATGTTAACTAGGTCAGGGATGGGCAACCCACGGCCCACGCACACAAAATATGTATTATATTTATATGTATAAATATGTAAATATATCAATTTCCTAACTTAAGAAGTATGCAGCAAAAATTCAAACTTTATTTTCTACACCTTATGTATGTGAATAGTTTTTCTTGCAATGAATTTAGTACAGTAGAGCCTCGATTAACCGACACTTCAGTTAACCGACCGTCCTAGTCGGCAAATTTCAAATGTCTGCTAGTGATGTGGCGCTACAATATTTGGCTATGTCTTGGCTACTTTAATATTATTTTTACGTGTTTTAGCTGGCAACACTCAATCGACCATGAAAGGGAGCCAGTATTTAAACGAAGCTTAATTTTCTAATTTTTAACGATACAATAGCGCCGATTATTATTTTAAAAAATTTATGTTAGGCTTAACATCGATGAAAATTCAACGCGAAGTAGGTTAATAGCGATATACTAATATACTAATTACATGGGATATAATAATATACTACACTAATAATGGATTTTTTCATACTTTTCGGTTATCCGACTTTTCAATTATCCGACCAACCCCAGTCCCCAATTGAGTCGGATAATCGAGGCTCTACTGTAAAAATTAAAACAAGAAACTGCTAATAAACTCACATCGAAACTAATTTAAAACTAGCAATGACTAATATTTAATCAAATATTTTCGATACATTACATTTACATCAGTCTAGAAGCTAAATTAAGTATACATATTCTAATTTATAATTATATATGAATAAATAATTGTGATTTACTGGCATTTCCCCCCTCTTTTATCTTGTATGTGACCTGCATCAGTTCAAAAGTTTTGAAATGTGGCCCTTACACAGAAAACGGTCGCCCATACCTGATCTAGGTCATGCGACGCTCACTTCACTTCAAAAACTTGTTAAAAAAAACTGCCATATCGAGTATGATTGTTGTTAACCTATTATATTTCTTAAATTATTAAACAAATAAAAATGCCTGGCCATGAGATTGCCAAATTTTTTTTATCATTATAGCAGTCAGCATGTTAACACTAGGTAGCCAGTTAATTAAAACTAAAAATGACAAAATAATAATTAAAACTCTGGTTTCTACATTGAAACAAATTAAAATCTACATCAAAGCAAATTGAAAAATATTATTTCAGAAATTGTGGATAAAGTACAGTACTTGTTGTCTGTCTTGATTGATTGATTTGGTTATGTTTCATCCAGGCAGAGTTGAACTCTATTTTTAGCATTTTTTTGTATAGTGATGTTTCAGCTTCAGTTGGTGGTGATGGAACATTTTGCTTTTAATATCTATATTACTATATAAAGAGACAGCATATTTTTTGTTTGTGACCACTAACCATGAAAACTACTGAACCAATCATTACCAAATTTTAAATGTAGCATCTTTATAATCCCCGGAATGTTTACCACTAATCAAACCTACAGAGTTTTTATTAATTAAATGAAACTGCAATGGATTTTTGTCTGTCTATTTGTCTCTTTCTTCACTAGATGGCAACACATGAATTAGTACTTTCTGTCTATAAGTCTATTATTAAAGTTTACTATTATATTTGAAGAACTGACATTAATTAAATTATAATTAGTTAATTATCAAAATCTTTAGGGAATTAAAAAAGTGACATCATTATGCTAAATGGCAGTATGTGTACTTATGGCGGGTTTTCGAATTGCCACGCATTAATTTCTGCAAATTATTGTACAAAATACTTGAAATAGTTATTGAATTTATCTCAAGTGAATAATTTTGAGATTGATTGATAAATAATGCTAAGAGCTGCAAGAGCACGAATAGGAAAAAAAGTTCTAGAGCTATTATTGTTCATAATTGCAGACAGCGTGAATCTACAGCACAGCAGTCTCAAAGATTGGAAGAGCAACGAATTTGTTCAGCTCAGAATCGAATGCATATGGCAAGGAATTTTTTAGGTTTGAAATCAATATAACTTATTCAGAAGTTTTATGATTTTATTTTTTTATATTTTGCAATACTCTTTTGCAGTGTTTTTCAACCTGTGGGTCGCGATCCCCAGGGGGTCACGGGTGAAAGAAAAAGACAAGTGTTTGTAGGTCCTACACTACAATAAAAAAAAAAACTAGAATTTCAGTGAGAAGGTTGTACCTGTTTATTTTACAGGACAATTGGTTTTTCAATCAATATTTAAAGAAAGAAAATTAAATACATAGTTTTTAAAATCACTGATACAGTTTAAATATGGCCCTGGGGGGAGGGTTGCCAGAATTTTTTAACTTGTAAAGGGGTTGCGTATTCAAGAAGGTTGAAAAACACTGCTCTATTGCAATACTTCATATTGATCACCCAAAAATAATTAATGAACAATTAGTTCAAATTTTCTAACTTCTATATGTATATAAGAGTGGGCGAGGCTGCGACGGGGATGCTAGTATATATACAGTAGAGTGTAGATTTTCCGAAAGTCAATCATCCGAAAGAATTCCAGTCGGCAAATTTAAATTTTCGCCAGTGCTGTGGCGCTTCAATCTTTGGCTATGTCTTGGGCTACTCAAATATTTTATGTTTTTGATACTAAATTAACATATGAAGTATAATTTTTTATT